AACTGCTGAAGTCGTTTTGGAATCTGAAATCTCCATCTGGTTTCGTGATCAATACACGTGCAAGTATGAATACATGAAATACACTGTTTTGGGACAATGAAAGACTGTATTTGATACTTCATCAATTAAGCCTCTTGTTCGTAAGTCGAAGATGTGTGCATTGGGTGATTAAACACTAGAGATATCTCTTCAACTATCCTTCTCCTAAGCTAGCTAGTAACGAATTATACTTCGTATAAAGAATTTTTTAACGGTTACTCATCTGTGAGTTTTTACACTCAGTAACAAACTTCCTCCTTTTGCAAAAGATGAGAGGTAGCTAAATATAGAAGCCCGTAAAATAAAAATGTTTGTAAAATTTAGTCAACTATCCCAATTTTAATTATCAGAAAATACCCCACACTTCCAGCCAGAAACGTAAAGAGTCCAGGGCAAACTGGAGTTCCTGACAGGAGCCATCCGGAAACTTACCACGAATTCCAAGATATTTTTTTGAAAACCTTTGAAGAAACGGTTTAAAACTCTATAAAATTTATAAGAGCGAATCAGAGGAAAGTTTGAAGCGCCGGATTGATTAACTATGAGATAAAACATCAATCAAAAGTAGGCCTGGACACCTGTTAAAAAATTTTTAAACAAATTTAATAAATAGTATACGTTATATATTTCGAAGCTATGTTCTAATCTTGGGTATAAAGTAGTACCCTTTAACAATCGTATAATAAGATCATACCCTTTAACAATTAATTTTAGAGCTCGAGAAGTTTAAACGTCGATCCGAATCTTGAAGATGAAAACATGGTGCAGGCATTCGACAAAAATATAGAAGTAAAAATGAAGTTAAATGAGAAAAATCATGTAAAAACGCTACAAGATTAATTTTAATCCTCTATGCTTGAACCCGAGTTCGCCAAAAACTTAAATTGCTTATATGATTTTTTTGTACGATATTGCTGATTGCTGAACGCTATTTTTTTTTAGCAAACTTTGATTCGATTTTATCCGAGTTAGTTTCAATACAGTTTTTGGTCTTCCCGGGTCGAAATGCTCACTTTATAATTCGACAATCTCCACCGAAAATCGATATGTTTATCGTTATCGGTACATTTCGCAAATGTGTTCGACCGTGCTCGACCCAAGCAGGATATTTTTTGACGGTGCTTTACTAAAATAAATTGAGCTGGACCGTGCTCGACCCAAGCAAGATATGTTTCGACCGTGTTCAATTAAAAAATTTTGCTCGACTGTGCTCGATCTAAGCAAAATTTGTTTCGACCGTGCTCGTCCAAAAACAAATCGTTCAACCCAAGCAAAAAATATTTTCAACCGTACTCAACTTAAAAAAAGTGCTCGGCCGTGCTCGACCAAAGCAAGATAAATTTATGCTGTCTCAACCACAAATTATGTGCTCGACAATGCTCGACCCAAGCAAGATATTTTTCGATTGTTTCGACCACAAAAACATTCTCGATCGTGCTCAGGGTATGCTTCGACTTTGCTCGAGGCATTTTTCGAACCTGCGCTCGATCTAAAGCCCTTTCTCAATGATAAGAGTTCTAGAAACAATGCAGCATCGAGCAACCGCAATCTAACCAAAGCAACTTAAGCTTTCAAAAACTAAGAGAATTTCCGAGATAATGCGATTCAAAGCATAAACTATAGAGCTCTCCAAGGTGACATTAGTATGGAAGAGGAAAAGGACAAAAACAGAGGAGCCCAGCTCTAGAGTACCCAAAGCTATGACCAAAAAAAAAGATTTATCGCTGAGAGATCGTTCTCTTTAACAATTAATTTTAGAGACTTTCTGTAGTAGCATATGAAAAAACCACAATTTTCACCGTATAGTTTGGAATACATAGCAAGCATCACTGCAGTAAAAAGAATCCATAGACATTTTATTGATTGATAGTTGCTATTATGTTTTGTTAGATACGCAAAGACAAATACACACCAACGCTATACTCTACATACTCTACGGTATAGTACAGTGTTGATGTGAAACTTTCTTCAAGGGATTTCGACTATCTTTTAGACTTATAGTCAATCAAAGTGAGTCAGCAAAAACTCGCTTTTTATAAATTAGCGGAGGTTCTTGATGCGAAATTTTTAACTTTTTGGGCCACCAGTTTGATAACGTTTGACATTTTTTTTTCAAATGCGATCAGAGGAAAGTAGAATTTTTGTATGGAGACAGTACTTCAAAAATGTTCAGATAGTGACTTTTTACCAAAAAATGTATTACTAAAGTGTAAACTGATGGTTTTTACAAAAATGGCTTCATTATTTGTTCGCTGTTTTTTTCTCAAAACTCAATGATCGACATAAACACCGCGCTGAAACCAAGATACCGTCGGTTTCATCAGAGAAGCAAAAACGGCTGAAGATTTTGTCAAGAACATTTGCATTCTTGACAATTCTCATATGACAAAGTTCGCCATATTCTGGAAAACTGATTATAACAAAGTTGTTTTCATTGGAGAACTCTTTTTCCTGAAACCTCTTACCAGCTTTTCAAGAAAAAAAACAGAGCGTGAGAAAAGAAGTCGGCTCCAAAATCGTACGATCCCTCTTATTATCGCTCGAGAAAAAATCTTTTCCCAAAAAGGAAATACAACTTTAGAGACAGTTTTTGTGTTTGCCTATCACTATTACATCTAGAAAGATACAAATGACCCATGTAACAAATTTTCAGCATTTCAATTTATCGCAGAGAGATTGTACCCTTTAACACTTAATTTAAGAGCTCGAGAAGTTTAAATGTCGATCCGATTCTCAAAGATGAAAACATGGTGCAGGCATTCGACGAAAATATCGAAGTAAAAATGAAGTTAAATGAGAAAAATCATGTAAAAACGCTACAAGATTATTTTAATCCTCTATGATTGAACCCGAGTTCGCCGAAAACTTAAATTGCTTATATGATTTTTTTTGTACGATATTGCTGATTGCTGAACGCGATATTTTTTTAAGCAAACTTTGATTTGATTTTGACCGAGTTAGTTTCAATACAGTTTTTGGTCCTTCCCGGGTCAAAGTGCTCACTTTATGTTTCGACATTCTCCACCGAAAATCGATATGTTTATCGTTATCGGTACATTTTGCAAATGTGCTCGACCGTGCTCGACCCAAGCAAGATATGTTTCGACCGTGTTCAATTTAAAAAAATTGCTCGACTGTGCTCGTTCTAAGCAAAATTTGTTTCGACCGTGCTCGTCCGAAAAAAAATTGTTCAACCCAAGCAAAAAATATTTTCAGCCGTACTCAACTTGAAAAATGTGCTCGGCCGTGCTCGACCAAAGCAAGATAAATTTATGCTGTCTCAAACACAAATTATGTGCTCGACCATGATCGACCCAAGCAAGATATTTTTCGATTGTTTTGACCACAAAAACATTCTCGATCGTTCTCGAGGCATCTTTCGAACCTGTGCTCGATCCAAAGCCCTGTCTCGGCTATTCTTTCTCGGTAGAGCACTGAAAAGTGCTCCAATTTGAAATTCAAAACATAAAGTGAGCGCCTCGACCTGGTTGGGTTTCACAGAAGAAAATTCACATAACGAAACGCTAAAATCTGACCCACAGAACAATTCACCAATCAAATGTTACATTTGGGAACTGCTCTTCTTTCAGACTGTAAGTCAAACACTTTCCTTCTTCAGCTTCAACCAAAAGTCAAACACTTTTGTTCTTCTTCCTACTTCAGCTTCAACCAAAAGCTATATGGGCAGTCCTGGACTTTTGGATGCAAATGAAAACAAAAGAGTTAAAACTGTTCTAAACGGTCTTTTGATAATGTTTGTTTTGCCAAAAATCGAGCTTAGACGAGCAACAGCATACTCGTACCCTGTTCTGCTGCCACATCCATGACCAAGTTTTGATCAAAATTTGCAGAAAAAAACAATGAGTTGCTTTTCTTGCTTTAGAAAAAAATAGCTAGAAAGCAGTTTAACTAGCATTAGTTTTGACTTCTCGAAACACGAGAAAAGTAAACCTCTCAGGATAATGAAAAATTTTCTACATATCGTTTGGAATCAAAAAAGATTGTTCTGGTCGTGTGTCTTGTAAACACTGCATGAATTTTGTATAAATTTTCCAGAAAAAGTTCAAATTAGGAAACAAATTTTATCAGCGGTCCTCGAATAGCAGCCAAAAAAAATTTCAAAAATGATTCTATAAACAAAAAATGCAATATCTCGTTTTCTATCTTTCTCTTTGCGGTTTTTGCTTACAAACAGCACTGGGCTGCCGGAATTTAATCAACATTAGAAAACTGCCTGGTTAGTTTTTGTCTTCAGGTTCCGGTTCAAAATGTTTTTAAAACTGTTGCTGATTGTTGATCTCGAATCCTTCTGATGATACTAGAACTGTAGGAATGTCACGTGGGATACTTTCCCACATGTCTGCACTTAAAATTTCAGCGTACTAAACTGGATCTGTTTTCTTGAATCCTTTGATTCTTTAGTCCTCATCTTGCAAGCAGCTGACATTTGTTGTCTAGATACAGTCGCTAAATTCTCTTTTTTTGCAATTTTTTCAGGTGCTTGACCTTTGCAAGGCATTTATAGTGTTACCCAATTAATCTTTTGATACGAATAATAGTTTGTAAAGAATAACTGTCGCCTCGCAGTTATTGTTTCCGCTTCGTACTTTTTGAATAGAATTTTTGGCAACTTTTTGTGCCATGTGTCATTCAAAAGGTATTGTTGTCCTGAGCTCAACTTTTTTCACCTGTGATGTTTTTTCAGAGATATTCCATGCCAATATGACCATTTTGAGACAATTAGCGCGCGATACATTTTGTGCAATTAGCGCGTAAGTAGAGGTTTGTTCCGTAATAGAATTCGATCTGAATTGGATTAGGCATGCTGCGTGGTCTATTAAATGATTTGCTATATGCAAAATATATCACTTTGTTTTAAATGTGGCAGTTTTTTTGTGAAAATTTCATCAATCATTTTATTTTAAATTACTCCATAAAAATTAAAATGCAGTGGGATCATTCAGGACTTCGCTGGTATACGAGCAATTATGTTATATTTAGATACTACTCTGGTTTTTTGTGTCTGTGATAGTTAAGTTAGAGTACAAGCAGTCAATTTTTTTTTCTGGAAAGTTTCAAGGAAAATTATTCTTAAGCCGTGTGACCTCGCTTTTGGTTACACCAAATAAGTCACAAAAACAAAGTTGTGTTTTTGCAGCCAAACTCTCGCTGTGCGTAGAATTCTGTGCCATTCACACAGCTGCTGCATTTGAAACCATCGTTAAGAGTGTCCTCGCAGTTCATGAGTAGATTGAGACAGAGGTCGAAGCCACCATCTTGACAACTCAAAGGCTCTTCTGGATCTATCAAAAAGTATGTAGTAAAGTGACAATGAGACAACTTTCAGAAACACTTATCCAAAAAGGAAAGAAATCAAAAAGTTTTTAATTGAAATCGCTCGCTGCTACGATAAAAATAAATATTTTAATGTTTTTTTTTCTAGTTCATTTTTTCTATTTCATAACGCTCGCAAAGACCCCAGGATACTTTCAAAAACTTTGTCAGCAATTTTTCAAGAGAAATCTGCATAACTCGATAACTTTTTTGCTAGCTTTTGCTAACTCAGCCGAATCAAAAACAAACTTATAAAAAATAAGACACAACTAAAAAGAGAAATGTAAATACCACAAGCAGAAATCTTTGATGTCTTCCATTCATCACAGACTACAGTAGCGGTCGAAGTACTATCAGCGTCGTGCGTACCATCGTAATAACCTGCCCCAGACACGAACACATTCGATCGAGGTGGGTTTTCCGGATCGGCAACATACCACAAGGACCTGAAAGAACATTAAGCTGTTTAAAACAACCTAAACATTGCGATCTTTTTAGTGATTCAGAAGGTCCGATCCTATAAACACTTATCAGCAGTTGAATTACTTTTGGCTAACTAATTCATTTTTGTACAATTTCGTTTTTTAACGTTTAAATGCTGTATTTCTGAATACCTGCAACTCTGGCGAATATATTGATTTCCTTCCTGGTCGAAATAGTCGAATGAAGGAACCCGATTTGTAAATTCAGTCCAATGAAAACGTTCCCATCTCGAGTCAGTTAGGTTTCCATAAACCCAGAAGAGGCCCGTGAAAAGTTTTTGGTTAAATTGTCCGCATTTTATCGTCGCTGCTTGCAATGCCACGATTGAGTTTGGCACTATGTTTGGATACTTCAGCTGCTCTTCAAATTTGAGCCCGATGCATTTTCGACCTCCGAAAGTGGGCTGGGTACAATTCCTGCTGTGACTTCTCTTCTTGATAAATTGTGCATGGACTCCACAAGGTGAGTCGTACACAAAATTCCAATCCGACCAATCCGAACATTGAGAGTCGAAAACAATTTTCACAACAATTTTTTTGTCAAATTTTTCGCCAATGAAAAATTAATCAAAATTTTGAAAAAATCTTAGCAGTGTTTGCAAAAAAAGTTTAGGGACATTGAGAAAACATAAGAACAAGTTTCACATGATTTTTAAAAATTAAAGATGTTAGACATGAGTTTTAAACAGCCAGAAAAATATTGAAAAATTGTTAAAAGTAGTTTGAAAGATTATCCGTGCCCTCATTCAAGTTTAGGCTTAACTAACCGATTGTGACCGCTGATTAAGATCAATTTGTGACAATTTTAATTAATCGTTTTTACCAATATTAGGTTTTTACATGAATTCTAGCAAATCAAAAAAAAAGATAACCGCAAAATTTTCTTAGAGTGTTTCACCTGAACACACGGCTTACCACTAAACAAAAATTTGAAAGAATTTTTCATAAAATCTTAGCCAAATTTATCATCAAATAAAAGCATTATGCTTATATAATATTTTAAAAAAGTGTCCGTCGTGATCGAAGAAAAAGTTTTAAAATCGAAATGGTTTGAAAAACGCTGAGGTTGTTTCGCCTAAATTCCCATAAGCCAAGTTCTTTGAAAAAAGCACAGTTTGAAATTTGGATGCAAGTTAGAAAAACAAATGAGCAAAAAAAAAGATAGAAATTGGAAAAAATAAGATTGAATAGGCAATTTTTCATCACAAAAAAAAGAAAATGGGTGAATAATTTATCAATTATTGTCAATTCAAATAAGAATCGAAATGAGATCGGAGTTTTTTATTATTGATTATTTGTTTTATGAAAAAATTACCATTGACTATTGAATGATTTCAAAGATTTTTTTCTCAACCTTAAAAAAATTACTAAAATTGTAATATAATCGTTTATTAATGCTTCAAACTGTTTGCGGTTAGTTGTATTTCCGTTTTTTTCTTAGAAAATATTTTTGACAGTTTGTGTATAGTATACACTAAATTTAATTTTCATGACTGGTTGACAGAGGCAAAATGATTCATTTTATCATTAATTAATTCAAGGTACTATTACACGAAACTACAAAATAAAAAAAATAGTCATGATTACCTTTTGTTTTTCCCTCCAATCCGCACTTCTCGTAGTGTGCTTCTGAATAAGCTTGAACACTTCCGACATAACATGGCACTCCTAAATCATTACGTACCAGAAGAAGCGTGAAAACAGTAGATGTTTCGTGTACTAGGAAGGTTGCATTTGGCGCAATTCTTGGGTCACTTGTGTACAATAAGCATTTACGGGCTCCGTGTACAGCACTCAAACAATTTTTATTGAACATGCATCTTTTCAGACAATTCAGTTCCGAGGTATCGCCTATTTCTTGGGAAAGGTAATCAGAAGATGGTATAATGTTGAAAATCTTTTGGAACAGGCCGAATCTGTAAACAATGTTAGCTCGTATAAATAAAAACTTCATCCAAACGAAGTATAAACTCATCAAACACACCATTTTACTAATGATCTGTCTTTTTGATCCTCAGCTTATGAGTCAAATCGAAAGTGATTTTTATTGCTTGAGATTTTTTTATAGCAGTGAAATGTAATCAATCGGATTGATATGAAAAAAAAAAAAAAAATTCCTTATTTTTTTCATGCGAAATAAGAATCCTAAGTGAGCCGAGGCTATAAAAGAAATCAACGAAATTTATTATTGATGTTTTTCATTTGGAATAAGAATCGTGAGTAAACTGGTTTATACCAAGAAACAACAAAATTTATTATTGATGTTCTGCAAATGTCAGCAGGACGAAATTTTTTTAAATCACTCAGATAGTTTCCGTTCATTTTAGAATCCTGAGACTTCAGGTGCCGCAATAGGCCAAAATTGCACTACTTCCAAACCATAAAAATTTAGAGAACAAAATTTACGATTGTTTTAAGGAAGTAATTGAAGAAGACGTTCTGTTTGGACAGGCAATCGATTCCAGATTCAAAAGATTCTTGAAAAGTTGGTTTTAATATTCTGGACACAACTGTTGAATTGACCCATCAACCCATTGGCCTATTTTTGGTCGCTAATTTTGAATCGTTTGCGATGGAATATTATACAGGAACACAATTGCTAGTGCTAAAAAAATTTAAATTGACCAAAATTGGGCTTTTTAGTTTGGAGCGGATACGGAATAATGTAAATAATAACTGCCAAACTTCATCAAAAATGCTTAACTTTTTGCATGAGAACTCTCAAAAAGCAATGCGCAAAAAACGCCGAGCATTTTCAAATAGTCTTAACTTAACTTAAAAACGAGCAATGGCAGAAAAGGTTAATTTTACTTCATTCCTTTAGTAAAACTCGTCTTAGTTCCAAATAAAAAACTTTGGTTACAGTTTGAAAACTTACATAATCAACACTGTTTCTAAGACATGAACAAAAATACATAGCGACCCCTTGATTAAAAATGGCGCAGCCGCATTTTTCGGTACCCAGGTATGAAACTCTAGGTTCGGAATCGTGTAAAGCTGGGAATTCGATGTATTTAATGTTTCTACTTCTTCACTTATCGACCAAGTGGTGCTTGATACGCTTTTAATCAGGATGCTATTAGTTTTCATACTTGATATATTAGAAATATCTGAGCCGATTGTCGTTTTGCGCGATATTTCTGATGTCCAAGTTGATGTCGCATTTGAACTATGTGATGTGGCTGCTGATGTTTTATTTATGTTAACCGATGAAGCTGCTGACGTCATATTCGAAGTCTCAGTTGATGTTGCTGATGTCGTATATGAGGACTCCGGTGTCGTGGTTGATGTCGTGCTTGAAGTTTCCGGTGTCATGGCTGAAGCAGTAAATGGAGTCACCAACGAGGAAGCTGTTTTCGTATTTGAGGTCTGCAGTGATGTTGCTGATGTCATTTTTGAAGTCTGTGGTGTCATTGCTGATGAAATTATTGAAATGTTCAACGACGTAGCTGTTGCCGTATTTGAAGCCTCCAGTGTTGTTGCTGATAGCGTAATTGAAGGCTTTGTTGTTGTTGCTAAAGTTGTATCTGGAGTCTCTAACGTCGTATTTGAAGTCTTCGTTAGTGTTGTTGATGTCACGATTGAAGTCTCCTGAGTCATGGCTGTTGTCGTATTTGAAGTCTCCGGTGTCGCTGCTGAAGTAGTTTTTGAAGTTTTTGGTGTCGTTGCTGATGTGGTATTTGGAGTCCCAAACGACGTAGCAGTTGTCGTATTTGAAGTGTCCGGTATCGTGTTTAATGTCGTATTTAAAGTACCCAGTGTTGTTGCTGATGTAGATATTGGAATCTTCAACGACGTAGCTTTTGTCGTATTTGAAGTACCCGCTGATGTTGCTGATGTCATTTCTGAGGTCTTCTTTGTCGAGGCTGATGTCGTATTTGAAGTTTCCGCTGTCGTGGCTGATATCCTTTTTGAAGTCTCCGATGCCGTGGCTGATGTCGTTTTTGAAGTCTCCGGTGTCGTGGCTGATGTCGTTTTTAAAATCTCCAGTGTTGTTACTGATGTCGTATTTGATATTTCCGGTGGCGTGGCTGATGTCCTATTTGAAGTCTCCAGTGTTGTTACTGATGTCGTTTTTGAAATCTCTGGTGTCGTGGCTGATGTTGTTTTTGAAGTCTCCGGTGTCGCGGCTGATGGCCTTTTTGAAGTAGCCAGTGTTGTTGCTGATGTCGAATTTGATGTTTCCGGTGGCGTTGCTGATGTCCTATTTGAAGTCTCCAGTGTTTTTACTGATGTCGTTTTCGAAGTATCTGGTGTCGTGGCTGATGTCGTAGTTGAATACTGCGATGCCACTTCTGATGTCATACTGGAAGTCTCTTTTGTCGCTGTAAATCTAAATGAAGTGGTTGCTGATGTGGTTTTGGAAGTCAGAGGCTTCAATGACGTAGCTGTTGTCGTATTTGAAGTACTCGCTGATGTTGCTGATTTCGTTTCTGAAGTCTTCTGTGCCGTGGCTGATGTCGTATTTAAAGTTTCCGGTGTCGCTGCTGATGTAGTATTTAATGTCTCCGGTGTCGTTGCATAAGTCATACTTGAAGTCTCCGGTGTCTGAGCTGTTGTTGTTATTGAAGTCACTGGTGTCATGGGTGATGTCGTTTTTGAAATCGCCAGTGTTGTTGCTGATGTCATATTTGAAGTTTCCGGTGTCTCTGATGATGCAGGGTATGGAGTCTCCATTGACGTACCTGTTGTCTTATGTGAAGTCTCCGGTGTCGTGGCTGATGTCGCATTTGAAGACTGCGATGTCGGTGCTGATGTCATACTGGAAGTCTTTGTTGTCGTTAAAAACTTCATTGAAATGGTTGCTGATGTTGCGCTGGAAGGCTCTGATATCGGTGCTGCTGTCGTTGCTGAACTCGTTGCTGTAGCTGCTGATGTCGTACGGGAAATCTCTGATGTTGTTTCTGGTATCGCAATGGAAGTAACTGGTGGTGTAGCCGACGTCGTATTTGATGTGAAATGTTCAGGTAATGAATGAGTAGAAGTTGTTGATTCTATAGTGGTTGTCATGAAGTTGATGTCAGCTTTGTATTTCTTTGATTTTCGGTAGCATACCATTTTAGACCAAAAATCGCCGCTGTTTGCGTAACACTCTGCGTTTGCGTAAGAGTAGCTTTCTGGATCTAGGCAAATAACTTTTAAAAAAACAACAACAGGCAAACAGACATAGCCAAAAATAGAGCGCAAAACAAATTTGGTTTATAAGTTGTTGTTCCGACCACTTGAAAAATGGGAAGGAACTTTGTATTTTGGTGTGCTTTGGTAATTTTTCTCTTGTTCTTTTTTTGGTTTTCACGCAAAATCACCACAACAAAAATTATCGGAAATAGTTAAATGATATATCATTTTGAAGCCCTTTCAACTAAGATTCCAAATATTTTTTCTAAAATTTTGAACCAATTTTTCCAGTGTCGAGAAAAAACTCGCTTTAAAATTTTTGATTTTTGTCTAAATTCGAGCGAGTAAAACCAGCGAACACGCTTATTTATGCTTAATTAAGGCCATTCAGATGATCAAAAGTTTCATAAACTCAAAAATTTCTGCAAAAAACTTTTGAGAAAAACCTACACTAAAATTGAAACAAATTCTGCTTGTAGTTTTTTAAAGACTATTTTTTAAAACTTCCAGAGAAACCGGCTATATAATTTATCAAAAAAGGCGTGGATGGCACTTGTTTTCAATTAAAACAAGATTGATCGTTCTGGTCAAAGTATTCTAAGAATGTGCAAAAATTTGAAAACACAGATATTTTTTAAAACGAGTTCTGAATGTCATCCCCCCACATGGCTATGTAAGATGCCAATTGTAATAGTTTACTGCATGTATCGCATAACTATGAGCAAATTACTCACCTCAGCTCAAATGTGGAATCGTTTAGAATGCC